CAAACCGAAGACATTTTGCCACCAATTGGCAAACTTTTGCCAGAAGTCGCGTCTGTCCTGATCATTGAGATATCGACTCGAGATCTTGTACTTGTCGTACACATCCTGAGGCATAGCCTCGGGTTTTGTCGGACTATAACATCGGATGGTTTTACGCAAATCGCTCGTCGCTACGGGTTTTGCGTCTAAAAACTCAATGAAAAGTACGAGAAGACTGAAAATTATGATGTTTTTCGCAATCATTTTGATTTGACAATGAAATCCACGCACAATATCGTGAATAGTATATANCATCGGATGGTTTTACGCAAATCGCTCGTCGCTACGGGTTTTGCGTCTAAAAACTCAATGAAAAGTACGAGAAGACTGAAAATTATGATGTTTTTCGCAATCATTTTGATTTGACAATGAAATCCACGCACAATATCGTGAATAGTATATAATGAATGTCATGAGTGGGTTAAAAACATATTTTTTAAATACAATTGATACAGGTATACTATATATCATGAGCCTAAGCTGAGTAAACAAGTTCATTTATAATATGATTAATTAAAGTATTTTTTTATTATAAATGCAAATTAAATCTTATATAATTGCTGTAAAATGTGTGCAAATACCAGTGACTAGTACATTTAAATGGTAAATTCCTTAATTATGACTAAAAATTTTAATTTCCAATTAAATTGAAACTATTTTAAATAATAAATATTTTCCACTAAAACTTATTGATGTTAATTCACAAAACTTCAAAACAATTTCTCAATACGACCTCTGAATGAAAACAAAAATAAAATCCAAATCACTAACTAAATCGACCTTAAAATGAATTCATTTATCATTAAACAACTTACATATTAAATTCAATATTAAATTCAATAGATTAGTCGCAAACAAATTGATGTGAATTATTGAAAAATGACAGAAATTGACAAATTCTCGAGAAAATTATCTCAAAAACACGTATAAATGATAAGCAAATCAATGAAACAAACTCCAAGCATAAATAACTTAAGTGTTTTGACTAATCATTATTTGCTATTTATTTATAATTGCATTAAATCTAGTCTTATATTTTAAGTCAAATGCTTTCTAAATGTAAACAAATGTACTTGTTGATTAGGCACAACTAACTTTTACTAATAGGCATAGAAATTTAAATGCTTCGCAATGAATATCATTTTATATTTATTACTTTTAACCACTTATGCAATTCATTTAACTCATGGAAGCAACAGATATGACGGTAATGTTCACAAACTTATCCTGGTAGCTAGAAAACAATTATACCTTGCTCATATTCCCTACGATTTCCCACAGATTATGAGTTCCTACTGGAGAAGTGCTGCGATTTGGGCACCACTCGAGCCAAACAATTGCCGACCGGCGGCTGCCGTTTCCACAACACATCCTTCGACCGGCTGATGACAAACTCGGAATACCGGCGCCAATGCGAGCTCGTGGTCGAGATCTGCTGCGTGAAAGAGCACCGGCAGAGGAACTGCGAGGAGGGCAAGGCGTTCGCCAAAAGCCGTACCAACTGCTCGGCCATACACACGGCTATTGTCACGCAAGTGGCCAACGAGTCAGCCAAAGACTGTTGCCTGTCGTGCGAATTGGGTCTCATGGCCAG